AATTTTGACTGTCCACTGGCCTTCTGCCGGTCGGATTCGCAAGGAACAGTTGCTTAGCCTTCCTTTCTGGAGGCATTCGTATGATTTCATCTACAGAAATAGTAATATCGATTCCCTGCTGCTTTAAAGACAATTCATCCTGCGGTTGCTTTGGGTTAAGCACTTACTCAGAGCACTCTCTCCATCAGCTCGGGCGCATCTCAGGGAGTTTTGCAGACAGGGTTAGTAATAGCGTAATTTTAAAAATGGTTTGAACTAAAAATTTGCATCCACTAACTACAGGCGTGATGAAAGCAAATACTTGTGGTAGATCTGATTCTGAGAGGAATATAGCCGTTTCTACAGCTTCCATTGTATATGTTATTACAAAGTTGACGCGTTCTTTTATTAAACCCTGACTGCTAATTCAGAAAACTCCGCTGCCTAATCTTTGCTGAGCCTTAAACGAGAAACGCGCGGTGTAGATTTGCGTACGCATACTTTCTGTAAAATCATTACACCTATCCATGGGGATCCATGTTTGTCTGAAAGGACGATATGCCGAAATGCCTAAAGGATCATACATGTAAAGACGCTTTTACTTAGTTATGGGGGGTGGCGTTGACCAGATGTGTGTTCCCTTATTATCCTATCGCTCAGGACCATTACTCTGTATCCCAAGGGCATGTTTTGTAGCTGAGCGTCTTCGCTTTAACAGAGATAAAAATGCAACCATTGTGGCATTGATCTTTCTGACACTTCCACGTTAAATGGAACTTATCTGAATGCCATCAGCCATAAGTGCCCTATCTCTGCAGTTTGTAGTGGCCCGCTGTCTTCCCACACAACGAAAATGTGTAATTCTTTTCTCAATGTACTCGGCAGTAAATTCGAAACAAAAATTGAACAAATATCGCAAATGAAAAGATCAATTGTTCCAGCATGTATTTTTTTTACATGTACCATTTTTTTAGGAAATGCTGAAGGACGAAATTCGTACTCTGACCTACAGGAATGCTATGTGTTACAACAAACACCTGTTCAGGAACAAGGTTGTGCTCGATGTGGGCAGCGGTACCGGGATCTTAGCCATGTTCGCCGCCAAAGCTGGAGCCAAACGTGTTATTGGGGTAAACAGTCTCGAACAAACCTTTGATTTAATTTATTTATTTCCGCATATCTTTAGATAGAATTTTCGAATATAGCGAAACAGTCGATACAGATTATCAAAAGCAATGGACTAGACGATGGTATTTCTTTAATTAATAATGTTAAAATGAGATTAGGCTAAAAGTGAAATGAACGACTTATGAGAAAAAGTACCCTAGCCATTAAATTGTAATTTAGTAGACGAAGTGATGTTATGCTGTTAGTGATGTTATGGCAGATGTCTTGGAGAAAAGAATGCACCCATATTTTATTTACTCGGGGTGAATAATTAAACAGTATTATTCGGGGTCGATAAATTGAGCCTACCCGGACGACTTTTTCCTTTCCAGTCTGGGTAGTTCAGTTGCTCAAAAGCTGGCCTCATGGTCGAAGTATAGCGGGCTCCAGTCACGGTTGGGATCAACGGTCCTTCGACTTTCCAAGGTAGTAAACACGCAGTACTGCCTCGAAAGGAAAAAAAGCTATGCCTTTTGAAGCCCTGAAGCTATAGCATTCAAATATAAGGTACCGTTGTAAAGGTTGTGCCAGCGAAGTGGAACTAAGTTCGTAGAAAACGGGTGTTCATCATGAATATGCAAGAGACTAACACGAACTTTTAGAAACCTATTTTTTAAAGCTACAACTTCCTGGGAAGAAAACCATAGACTACGCGCTGTTGCGACAAAAATTATACGTATGTTCTTCTCGCGAGAACATACACATTCGTCCGGCGGGAGGAAAATGCTGGAGAAATGGTTGCGTTACAGAGGAATGCTTTGAACGAAACCGTACTTAGCTCACCTGGATGGCCTTCAGGCCCCGAAGCGAAAGGCAAACGTTCGTCCTATGCGCGATATTTGACAAGCATAGGATCTGTAGTCAGAATTTCGTTCCAGTATCAGATGAAATGGCAACTAATCTTTTAGAGCAATAAAATAATGCAATAATTAGATATATTAGATGAAAATCTCCACTTTTTTGAGCCAGATGCTGGACTCGCAGGTGGTATCATTCATATCATTTGTCAAGCCATTTAACTTTCAGAGTCGTTCAAACGTATTTTGCTCCGTTGTCCGGTTTTAATGGCATCAATCTCATTGTCAACTGGCCTTCGTTTTCCAGCGATGAAATCGATCACCGCAGCGGCCTTGCCTCTTCCCGGCTCAGTGACGATAACTTACTGAGTATGCTTGGTCTGTGTATGCCCCAGGATTCATCTTCAATATGGAAAGCAAGACGTTTTCTCCTTGATCGTGCTTTTAGCTTTTCTTATTTCCTCTCTGCTGTTCTACAAGAGTCCCACCATGATGGCGTATAGATAGAGATTGGCACCGTGCTATATATTCCATAGCAGAGGAACGTTACACTTAGTACCCATCAGCCACGCTTATGGGAAATTGACATCCTTACGGTTACTAACTTTCTTTTCAATTTTTTGAAACAGATTAATGAGTATTTCACATGGAAAGAACGCAAGGGACTGCTAGCTGTAGTGATTGGCATCTCTTGGTGATGGCTTTAGAGTAGAGTTCAGCATCGCACGCATGCTGCAAATGGTTAATCGTTTAAGAACTGTATGGAAAGACCAATTTCCAACTTCTTTCTATTTCTGTTTTGATACTGGTGGCATATGCCTCATGGTGCGTTATTGAGAGATCATGGCAAATGATGACCTGCGGTCCTGTGGGAGTTTTCGATATTTGCTTCAGTGTCGCGGTGATCTGTCTAGTAGCCCTCTTTTACCATTGCCTTCCGAGTTACCCAGTTTAAAGTTCAGGACGTCTACCAAATAGTTTAACACGCTGCCTGCATTAACGCTACCATGGAATCAGCAAGTTGTTATCTGCTGTTCACCCGGATAAATTTTTACAGGTCCGACTATGCTTTGTCAAAAACAGATTGTGGCCTTTACTTCGCAACATGTTAGTTGTAAGCAGACAGACGAACCAAAGATGGTCTCTGTTCCATGGAGTCGAACAAAAATTTTATATTAGAATATTAATCTTAAAACTGATCACTGTGTAAAAATTTTTATTGCAATCACGACAAGTTTTGTTTCTGTTAACTGTGTGAAACTGTGGCCTTATCTGTTTTATGTAAAATGTTTTTTTAGTTGTTACGATCATCCAAGGTAAAGTTGAAGACATCGACCAGTTGCCTCATGGCATCGAGAAGGTGGACGTCATTGTGTCTGAATGGATGGGCTACTGCTTATTTTACGAATCGATGCTGAACACCGTTTTATACGCCAGGGACAAATGGCTGGTACTTGCTCTTATTTATTCAGTTTAGGTTACATCTAACATAAAAAG